GAGTTTAGAGATTCGATACCTGTATCCAGCCAGGGCATATCTGTAGACGACCAAATTTCATATTCGATACCTGTATCTAGCCAGGGAATATCTGTGAGTGATTGATTGTAGATTCGATACCTGTATCTAGCCAGGGCATATCTACATGAAGAGATTGTAGATTCGATACCTGTATCTAGCCAGGGCATATCTACATGAAGAGATTGTTGATTCGATACCTGTATCTAGCCAGGGCATATCTGCATGAAGAGTTTAGAGATTCGATACTTGTATCCATCCAGGGCATATCTGTAGACTACTAATTCCAGATTCGATACTTGTATCTAGCCAGGGCATATCTGTGAGTGATTGATTGTAGATTCGACACCTGTATCTAGCCAGGGCATATCTACATGAAGAGTTTAGAGATTCGGTATCTGTATCCAGCCAGGGCATATCTATAGACGACCAATTCCAGATTCGATACCTGTATCTAGCCAGGGCATATATGTGAGTGATTGATTATAGATTTGATACCTGTATCTAGCCAGGGCATGTCTACATGAAGAGTTTAGAGATTCGATACCTGTATCCAGCCAGGGCATATCTGTAGACGACCAGTTCCAGATTCGATACATGTATCTAGCCAGGGCATATCTGTGAGTGATTGATTGTAGATTCGATACCTGTATCTAGCCAGGGCATATCTACATGAAGAGTTTAGATATTCGATACCTGTATCCAGCCAGGGCATATCTGTAGACGACTAATTCCATATTCGATACCTGTATCTAGCCAGGGCATATCTGTGAGTGATTGATTGTAGATTCGATACATGTATCTAGCCAGGGCATATCTGCATGAAGAGTTTAGAGATTCGATACCTGTATCTAGCCAGGGCATATCTGTGGGCGACTAATTCCAGATTCGATACCTGTATCTAGCCAGGGCATATCTGTGAGCAATTGATTGTAGATTCGATACCTGTATCTAGCCAGGGCATATCTGCGTGAAGAGTTTGAAGATCAACACCTGTAATAGGCCAGGAAATTATCTTTCTTTCTCAGGTACGCAAGTTCTCGCTAAGGAATCTCTTACGCGATCGACACCCCTGGATGGCATCTTTAAGCCCATCTCCACAACTATCCATTACACTTCCAAATGGCATCTATAAGCCCATCCCCGACAAGATTCTGTCACATCTCCAGATGGCATCCATAAGCCCATCCTCTCTCCAAATGGAATCTGTAAGCCCATTCCCGACATCACGTTGCTGATACTCCACTATGCGAGTGCAAATTTCTGGGCACTCTAGTGTTCAATCATCTTCCACCTTCGGATCACGAAAGGCACACAAGCCAATCTACATCCTCAGGTCTAAGAAGATTGAACAGGGGCAACTGTTGTACCCCAAAATTTGCCCTCCCATATTCTTCAAAGTTTGTCAAGGATCATCTTCAAAATGGTTCAAGACTTCTCAAGGGTTGCACAGTCAAACATCCTCCTAAGCCAGTCAAAATTAGGGTTTTGGTTCTTTCATGGAATTTGAGGTTTTCAATGGCTAAAAAAAGTCCCATAGGCTCATATACATTGTCAAGCATCTACATGGCAAGTTTCAAGACTCACAGGGTCAAATTGCACACTCAAAAGCCCTATTTGCATCACAATCAACTACAGGGGCAAAATGGTCATTTTGCAGTCAAAAGTCAGAATTTTTGGTCAACATCTTATTTTGAGCTCACAAACATCATTTTATCAAGTCTTGATCATGATTCCTCAAGCATGGCTCAAAAATCATCAAGGATGCAAAAGTTGCTATTTTTGGACAGTTGAAAAGTCAACTGTAACTTGACCAAGGCATAACTTTTTCATTGTTCATCAGAAAAATCTCATCCAATGCTCATTTTGAAGGGGATGACATTTCCTAAAATTCATATTCACATTCCAAGTCCAAGAAATGCTCTCACAAAAAGTTATCAATTTCTACATTATAGGTCAATTTCAAAAGTCAACAAAAAGGCATTTTAAGTCAAAGACCATAACTTGAGATTGGTAAATCCAAATGACATGGGACCAAAGTCATTTGTTAGATTACTTCAATACCTTTCCAAAATGTCCAAGAACATGTTCTTATGATCAAAATTGAGCAAGATATGCATTGGAGAAGTTGGGAAATTTTTGTGAATGTGCAAAAGTCAACTATCCTTAAAACTTCAATTTTTGACAAAAGGGCCCACTTTCTTCAACTTGATTCAGCCTTGTCATGCCACCCACGTGTCCCATGATTAATCTCAAGATCAAACATTTATTTTTCTATTTTATTTAATTTTTATTGATTTAATTCATTTTAAATCCATAATAATTCAAATAAAATCTAAAAATTAATTGAATAGCATCTTTGTGGTTTGAATAGCTTTTATATGTCATATGCCAGCTAGCCAATTCGTGCTAAGCCTTTTTGTGCATAAAATCCAAGATTTGAACCAAATATGGAAAGTTCTTCAATGGTGGTCAACAAAATCTCAAGACTTCAATACACCAAGATTAAGGCCCAGCTGCTGACCTAATTTTGTTCATACATACATAAGCAAGCAGTACCAACCTAAGACACGACCTAGACATTGCTGAAACGGCCAGAGCAAAAGGAAAAAATTGTTGAAAAAGTGTGAGATCAAAAATTGTGCTGCAAGCATTTTCAGACATAAAGGAGCACGTGACCCTCTTCCTTGCCATCCCCTGAAGCTAACACAATCAACGCCACGTCCTAAGACTCCCTATACAACACTGTAAGTACTCACGAAGTCACCTCTGAACACGAAATCTAAACTCCTTATTCTTGCATTTTTTCTCAAAAACATTGGCATATTCATGTTTCTTGTTTAATTTCTAACCTGATGGCAATATTTGATTTTGTTTTTAAGCCTCATATGGTGATATTCGCGCCTAGGGTTTGTGTGTTTTGTTTTTAGGCGTTTTGTTTTCAGGTGAGATCAGAAGAAATCATAAGCGTGGATGAACTCAGGAGACCTGGACGAGACCAACCATGGTCTTGGAATAAGTTTTTGAAGCCTAGGGACGATTTTAAGGAAAGCCTACGAAACCACCTGCGGATAAAAATCCGCAGGTAAATAACCAGCAGTGTTGGTAAAGAAGACGATGATGTGTCTTCCTATCACTGGCCCTTTTAAACAATCGCGCGCTTTTTTATTTTTGTTAGGCATATGCATTGATTCACCAATATATTATTCCCTTATTATTATGATAACAATTGAAACGTGCAGCTCAGATGGCCAAGGCGCTTGGGTATTGATCACTGGGACCTGGGATTGTTGTACCCCAATTTTTGACCTAAGATCCCATTTTTATTTTTGCATTTTTTAAGATAAGTCAAGGTCACGAAATACGGTCGGTTTTAACGTCTCACCTTCGAGCTTTGACTATGCGAAGATTGTCAAGTGTTTTGAACATTTTTAGCATATGTATCACTAATTTCTAATCGCATACAAAGGTATATGTTCATGTTTTCTTTTGTGTCATGTGCAGAGATAGGTCTGGATCAAGAGCATCAGGTGTCGCGCCTCAATTAAGGTTTTGAGTCTCCCAAGCCAAAAGTACGGTTGATTATGGATTCTCGAAGACTGATTCATCAAGGCACAACTGTTGCACCCTAAATGTCGCCTCTAATTTTTTCAGTCGCACTTTCATACCATATTTTGTTATTTGGTCACAATCATTAGTAAATATCTTCATTCATCATATTTTGCATCATTAGTCGTATTTAAGTTGATCAGAAAAAGTCAGTTTAAATCAAAGTTTGCATCGTCTTTCAGTTGTAAAATACCTGACATTTCACTTCATGCATTTTTGTCTCTTTACTCGTTTCTTGCATTGCTCCAAGTTGTTTATATGTCGATAATAAAAATATTTTGGTTTTATAGACAAACTGTTAAAAGCGATTCAATAATGTGCGAAAAATTAGCGAGAAAAATATTTCAAGTTTTCACCTTTTACCGATCATTTTATGAATCTGCATCTCGCATAGATTATGACGGTATGCTCGCTTTATTTTTTCGGTACAGTTTGAAGTCTCGTTTTTAACCGTAAACGCCTGTTTAGCCTGATATTTTAATTATCATTTTATTTCGATTTTTGACCTTTTGAATATTTTTTTATTAATCTTTGAGACAGGTAGTTTATTTTAATGTGTTCACTTCATTTTTTCGGTTAGATTTTTGTCCATTTTTCATCGTTTTTAGTCATTTTCGGGTCTGTATTTTTTAGTCAGAAAAATTCAAAAAAATATTTTAAATTGCATTACTTTTTGCTCTTTCAGTTTTTACGTTATTTTTATCATTAAAGAGATTTTTGGTCATTAAAATTGTTTTTGAACTAAGCTTTATTTTGATTGGTTGATAGAAGTTGTGCAGGATTAATGAAAATTGGTGAACGAATCAGATTGCAAATTGAAATAATTTCCTCTTCTTTTTTCTTCTTCTATTTAGTAGCTCATTTCTTACCTTTGTTGAAAAGGGGAAAAAAAACAAAAACAACAACCAAAACCAACACAGTAATTAACCCCCCTTCAATTAATGTAAACCAAATTCCCTTTACCTCTCTCCACACCATACCCCATTTCCCAACTTCTTCTTCTTCTCTTCACAGAAACCGTCACCTCCCCTGTTCATCCTCTTCCTGCTAACCTCCTCGCCACATAACCATCATCTCTTCAACCACATCACCATCCCTTTAACTCCCACTCATGAATCCTTCATTTCTATTTTCCATCTTATGTACCAACAAAAACCCATTAACCCACTCACTACAACCCATTCCAACAACAATCCATCTTCTATCTAACTCCCTCTCCCAATTTCAATTTCCGCTTCGTCTAAAAAAACCCAAACAGCATATTCCATTTCATCTTCTCCGCAACTCACCCTCTCTACCCCACTTCACCTCTGCATATCACCGAACCACGACTTCATCTTTCTCTTATTGAATCTCCCGCTTTACCCTTTTCAATGGAATCCTGGATTTCTCTCAAGCCTCACTTTTATGCCTTTCCTTCCTTCTCATCCATTCCTCCTACTCAACTCAATACTTATAGAAAAAACTCTCTTTTTACTGTTTCTGTTCGAGCACAGATGGACCCTAACGAAGATTCAGCTACAATAGCCACATCTGGTGAGTCTGTGGTTGAAACTCTCAAAGTTAAGGAATGGGAAGTAGGAATATTTCATAACGAGGTTGCTGCTACGCAAGGTATAAGAATAAGGAGAAGGCCACCAACTGGACCCCCTAATCATTACGTAGGACCTTTTCAATTCCGGTTGCAGAACGAGGGAAATACACCACGTAACATCTTGGAAGAGATTGTGTGGAAAAAGGACAAAGAAGTTGCACAACTAAAAGAACGAAATCCCCTTTCTCCAACCTTCTCCTCTCTGCACGAACAACACCACCACCATTTCCGCTTTCCATCACAAACCGAAACCGCTGCCCTTTGTTCAATTGCAACGCCTACAGTCCACCTTCATCTGCATCACCACTACTACCTCGACTGATATCGCAGTTTCTTCCTCCGCTGCTTGCCTCGCGATTTCCAGCTGAAGCCTCCCTCTATCCGTGCGCATCCGCTACTGTCAACGACTTTGGCTAGTAACTTTCGTTTTTGACACGGTTCGGTACTTTCTTCTCTAGTTTTCTTTTTTTTCCTGCAGTTTGAAATGGTTAAAGGTTTGTTTGGATTGAATAATGAGAGGAATAGTGTTGTGCTGTTAATTCAATTTTGAGTGATATGTTTGTTTCATTTTTTTGGTTAAATTGGTTTTGTTCATAATTATTGAATTTGAGATGTTAGTTTTAGGTTACTAATTTAATTGATAACATGATGATGATTATTGATTGTAATTGGAACTTTGATTATGAAATAGAAACTTTGGTGATTTTCTTTAAATTGAAATGAAGAACATGTTGTAGTGGTAATGGAAAGGCTTGGTGAACGTAAATAACAGTAGCCATATTTTGCCAATTTCCTCTATTGCCCTCTTTCAATTTCAAATAGCAACAACACTTTTTTTTAGACTCATTTTCCTTTCTAATTAATATTTTAAATTGAAATTAATGTGATGTGTTTCTTTTAGTTGAATTGTAGAGTTTTTGAAACAATTGTGTTAAAATGGGTATTGTTGACATTTTTTTGTTGTCAATTTTGGAGAATTTAAATTTAGTTTTAATAATTAATTTGTTCCTCATTAGTTTAGAATTTTTTTTGGAACTATGGAGTTTAATGCATAGATATAGTGGTTGTCCAAAATTTGGTTTAATTGAATAATTCTTGAATTGGAATCAATTTTCCGTGTTCGATTTTGAATTGAATAATTTCATGAATTCTTGATTTTGATTTGTGTAAATATTCATTTATTCACGTATATTCATACAATTTTATTTTTGATTTTATACTCACTAACACATATTTTAATTGTTGCAATTTCGTTTCATTTTAATTTGTATACCGCTTATGCTACTAACAAGTTTGTTTATTGTGAAGGTTTCCGAGAACTGTTTCAAGTATTAATTCCCGCATAGCGCATCAATAATTCCTACACTTCTCCCTTTTACCTTTTTATTGTATTTTACTATTCTGACTTAATATTTGGTACTGTAAATACATACTTGTACATAATATTTTGACTGTCTATTCACTTCACTTGTAAATAAATTCAGGTTTTGAAAATATTATTTTTCACCGCATTGTGATTTTATTTTTAATTCCAACTAACTTCTGAAAATTGTGCGGGTGCACATAAGTTTCCTTGTGCTGTTAGATTTGTCGATATATATCTTGTGATGCAGGGACTCTTATCTGACACCGTGAGCTTTATCCACCGCCTTTGCGCTTTATCTGATGCTTGGAGTATTATCTCACATTAGGTTTTTTGATGATGCTGTCGGCTTGTGATTTATTTTCACCTAAGCTTTGATATACTCTTAGCTTATTTATTTGTCTGTGGTTTTAACTCCAAGGGAAAGAATTAAATTTGTTGACTTCGCGTCATCAAACACATCTCATCTGATCGTGTGAATACCCTTTTTTTTCATTTTTTGTTTGTTTACTATTTTGCTAAACTCAAGATAATTCTCCTCAAAACCCAATTTCAAACATACACTCTTTTAAATCAAAACTTCGACACGAGGTCGTCGTATCTTCAAAATCTCGTCCATACCCATCTTTAACCAAACAAACCATTTTAATCAAACAAACAATTTTAACCCAAAAAACAGATATTTCAAAAGGTTCCTGCAGAGTACCGCAGATGCATTGGGTGCTAATACCTTCCCATTGTATAATCAACCCCCGAACTCTCGATCTCTTTCAAAAACGCATTGTATTTTTTATTACTTTTAAGTATTATTTTACATTGCATATTTTAGGGTTTTATTTCGCTCTTTTCCCTTTTCCCTTGGAAATAATAAAGCGCGGTGGCGACTCTTGCTTTTTGTGAGTCAAGTTAATTAATAGCTTGATCTCCGATTTTCACCGCTACAGGGATCGATTCCCAGGTCCCCCAAAATTTCCATATTATTTTTCTTTACACGCTTGTGTGCAGGTTTCCAAAGAAGGTGTACCATATACCTCACAAATCAGCGCGCCAAGTGGCCATTCTCATAGATCTGAAGGCCATAAGGTGCTGACCACCATGTTCCAAGTCAAAGCATGCTCTGGACAATTGCAAAAAGTCAAAAGGCTGGCTGGTTAATGGGCTTCACAATTCCAAATTCACCCCCTTCTGGGCCCAGAACCCCCTTGGTTCATTCCTTTTTCCTTTTTATTTTATATTTTCTAGTTTATTTATTAATTATTTTTCTAATTATTATTATTATCACTAAAATTAACATAATTAATTTTTTCACAATAAAATTCAGAAAACCAAAAAAACATTTTTATTAATTTCAATTACTTTTTGTAAATAAATTCATTAATTAATTTAGTTGTTTAATTAGGTTAATTGTAATCTTTTTCACATTAAATAAAATCAAATCTAGAATTAGGTTTTTTTTCCTTTGACACTTTTAATTTCTTTTTATTTTGTTAAGATATTAAAAAACATAAAAATACTTTTCTCTTGTAAATAATTAATTAATTAGTAAATTAGGTTTAATAGTTAATTTAATTGCAAAAAAGGGCCCAATTTCAATTCTTTTCTCAAAAAGGGTCAAAACCCTAAGGACGTCCCGATTCAATCTTTCGCGCGCATGTTTATTTTAATTCATTATATTTATGTATGTGCTCCGGAAATGTAATAGTTAATTAGGCTTTTATCGCTTTATTTACTTTTCTCGCATTTATTTTCCAAACGGGTTTTGTTTTTGGCGATGTATAAACCCGCGCCTTGTAATAGCGTAGATTTACCTTTCCGCAATTTATTTTCCGCACTCTTAACTGTTAATATGCCTGCAAGACTTGTATGAAAATAAAACAAACTCGTAGCTCACAAAATAACATGTACAAGATAATCTTAACTGAATTCAACACGCATGCACATGCCACTTCTAGGGTACGCCTCGCTTGGTTGCCTTCGGTAAGTGGTCATCAAGTATAGGGTGTTTTAGTGGTCGCCCTCCTGTCTAAAGATCCATTTGCCTCGAAACGGTTGCCTCGGATAAAAAGGATCTAGGATGTTAGGGTTACCGCTAAGGCGTCCTACTATTGCTTTGGTGACCACACATTATCCCTATAATCGAATTGACCTGAATAACTCCAACGACGGTGCTACCTACTTCTCAATAGTGGGATAGTACTGTCTAAAGGACTCTTACACAGCCTAATTCCTTAGAGTAGGTAGATTTCTCCTGGGTACTCTCTCTTTCAAAAAAAACAAAAACATCTTTTCGCACTCACACTTTCAAAAAGTTTTCAAACAAACACTTCATACACTCTTGAGGACTGATACAAGAGTTACCTAGAAGTTTTCAAAACGAAACTTTTTAAAAACCCACAAACACTTGAAAAGAAAACAATTTTTGAAAACATAGAGCAAGTACCTAAGAGCCTGTGGATAACCACAGATAGAAAGGGTGCTAACATCTTCCCTTTCTATAAATCTACCTCCCGAACCGAGAGACATCTCGAAAAAGGAATTATGCTGTGCTTCTGTCCTTTCCATGTTGGAGAACATAAAAGACGGTGGCGACTCTTGCTTACCGCGACATTTCGCGAACCAGCTTAAAAAACAGTCAGTTCTATTTCCACCGATCACAACGACTATCTATAAGACCAGGTTAGAGATTAATTCCTGAAACCAGACAAGGCAACTATCTCAACGACCAACAAGAGCTAGTTCCAAATTAATTCTTGAAACCATACAGGGCAGCTATCTATGAACAAATGACTGTGGATCGACTCCTGAAACAAAACGGGGCGACTATCTACAAGACCAGGTTAGAGATTAATTCTTGAAACCAGACATGACAACTATCTCAACGACTAACAAAAGCAAGTTCCAGATTAATTCTTGAAACCATACAGGGCAACTATCTATGAACAACTGACTGTGGATCAATTCTCGAAACAAGACGGGGCGACTATCAACAAGACCAGGTTAGTGATTAATTCCTGAAATCAGACAGGGAAACTATCTCAACGACCAACAAAAGCAAGTTCCAGAAACCAGACAGGGCAACTATCTGTGAACAACTGACTGAGGATTAATTCCCGAAACAAGACGGGGAGACTATCTACAAGACCCGGTTAGAGATTAATTCTTGAAACCAAACAGGGAAACTATCTCAACGACCAACAAAATCAAGTTCTAAATTAATTCCTGAAACCAGACAGGGAAACTATCTATGAACAACTGACTGTGGATCAATTCACGAAACAAGACGGGGAAAATATCTACAAAGACCAGGTTAGAGAGTAATTCTTGAAGCCAGACAGGGCAACTATCTCAACAAAAGCAGGTTCTAGATTAATTCCTAAAACAAGACGGGGCAACTATCTGAAGTAACAGCTCATCAAAACTGTGAAGCCTAGACACAACCAGATAACAGTTAACCTCAAATTCAAGTTGAAGCCTGGACTAGACCAGATAACAACTTAATTTCTTCAAAATACTGAAACCTGGACCCGACCGGATAGAAGTTTACAACTATTGTAAAGCCTGGACTTGACCAGATAACAACTTAATTTCTGAAGCCTGGACCCGACCAGATAACAGTCCAACCTCTTCAATTACTGTAAAGCCTGGAAACCGACCAAATAACAGTTAATTTCATTTTCCCCAGTAAGTCACTGTGAAGCCTGGAATATGACCAGATGACAGTTAACCTTAAATTGAAGTTGAAGCATGGACTCGACCAGATAACAGCTTAATTTCTTCAAAACATTGAAACCTGGACCCGACCAGATAGCAGTTTACAATTATTGCAAAGCCTGGACCCGACTAGATAACAACTTAATTTCTGAAGCCTGGACCCGACCAGATAACAATTCAACCTCTTCAATTACTGCAAAGCCTGGAAACCGACCAGATAACAGTTAATTTCATTTTCCCCAGTAAGT